TCGATCCTAATACCGGCGAACCTCTCCTACCAACAAAGAATGCAAAGAAATTCGTAAACCATTGTGGGGTTCTTATTAGGGACAAGCTCTCGATCAGCGCCCGTGATTGGAAACAGAAGAAGGATGATCATAACATCAGCTTTGTCTCTGAGTGAGACAAGGACCTTCTTTGGAATTCAGTCACTACACATTTCGAGCTACATCAAGAGATGAAGATTTTAAAAAATATTTAAAAGTTGGGCTCTCAAGAAGATGGCCACACAATTCTAGACCTGGAAGAAAAAGTTGTATAATGAATTTATCAAGAAGAATATGACTCTAGATTTCAGTGATAATAGCCCGTATAAAAAGTTGAGGGATGACTGGCCTGAATTTGTGAGGTACAGGACCTCGGAAGAGGGTGAGGCACGAGTGAGAAGGAACCAATAGAATGCGCGACAAAAGGTATACCATCATAAAACAGGATCAGGTGGCTATAGGAGTGCCATTCCTAGGTGGCAAAGAATGGAAGTAGACCTGCTTGTCAAAGGGATCCATCCATTTTCAATCGAATGGACCGAACGCTACAAGAATTGGCTTTTTGTGCATGGGGGATCACTGGATCTAGAGACTGGGGAGCCGGTTGTTGGTGGGGAAATCAGAACAGTAGCACAAAGACTTTTTAATATTGTAGATGCTTCTGCCAGTGGTGCCTTTGTGCCCAACCGAGAGAAGGATGAGCTGACGTACGCCCTCCAGACTCCTAAACACCCTGGGCGAACGCAAGGCAAAGGGTTGATTTCATGGCGGCATGGCTTCCCTGAGGATGTCGCTACCTACAGAAGTTGCCAGCGAAGGAAGGATGAGGAGACAGAGCGGATCCGCAGGTTAGTGGAGGCGGTGCTTTGATCGTAGAAGCGAGAACTAAGCATGGACACGAGAATGCAAGAGGAAATCAGACGGCAAGTGGCACTACAGTTGATTAGCCAAAGGCAGTCAACATCAGAGCATGGAGTCAATGTTAGCCCCCCTCAGCTAAGAAGCAGTTGCGCTTCCACTGAGCTCCCAAATCAAGATGACATCACTATGCCTTTGACGCCATGTGAGCTGCACATTCCCATGGGGAATAGCACAGTCGTTGTGGCGCACGGTATTGTTTCTCCTGTGGTCCCTGACAAGATACCTAGAAGCCATGGGAATCCAATTCCACCTGGATATTACAGCATCTCGGTGGATAGAGTTATAAAAGACTATAGGGAAATGGCTCTTGACTTTCCTGGAGGTGATGGAGGGAAGACCCTAGGACAAGCAGAGCATTCATTCATTTTATGGCACAAGCGCTATATCATTATTCCTGGTGCGGCGGCTAGGGTACCGTCGCCTCCTCCTCAACTACCCAATGATAGGTGTGGATGAAAGTGAACGAAACAATTTTTCAATAATCATTCTCAATTATTGGCTTCTCGCGTAATAACCATTTACTTTCAATCATTTTTGTTCTCACAGGCTTCCCAACCTGAGTCTAGTTCTTCCATCTCATGATGATCATCAGAGTGCTCTAGACGATGATGGTGCTCTAGACGATGATGATGCGTTCCATGGCATGGTTGCATCTCCATCTCCATCTCCTCCAAGTCGGTCTCCCCCTCCTCCGCCTCCCGGGTCATGGAGCCATAAGAGGCCCCCGCCCCCGGTGAAGAAGAAAGCCAGCCATCATAAAACAAAGGCCCCTCCGGAGAAGTTGCCTTACGAGAAGTCTAAAGAGGTATAAAAAAAGCGGCGGCACAAAAAGATTTGGATAACTGGCGGCAAAGTTTAGCAGAATCAAGAGCAAAGAGAATGGAACTTATGAAAAACCCGCCAAAGCCGCATTACATAGCTCGACAAGAACATAAGCTCTAACCATTATCGGACTATGATCGCTCTCTCGACAAGTCATATAAGGCGTCGCTGAAAACGAAGAGAGCAGGGAAAGATGTTGCACAGCTCGGACATCAATCTAAGCAATCTATCGACCTCGCTAGTTGTTGAGGATGATTGTAGAAACAAACAAGGCCGTCCAATCGATAGGAAGGCACTCCAAGACTTCATGGACACAACAGGTCTCACACCTCAACAACTCATTGGGGGAGGATCGATACCAACAACCAACTTTGATATTTACCGGACCTATGTGTATGGCAGGAGTCTTGTCAACCCTAAGTCCTATTCATCACTGGGTACGCAAATGTTCTTGTTAAACAAATGGTACTTAAATGTGTGTGCGAAGGAAGAGACATGGCTTCTTGTCCAGAGTTAGACCGGAGCATTACTACAATGGCTATGACATTCTACATATTGAGTTCAATGAATTACACCAACTATTAAATCGGGATGCTCTTGACAAATCTCTCCTCAGCTGTTGGTGTTTTTAAGTCATTCTTTCTACAATTGAAGTAACTTACATGTTAGTTCATTGTCTATATATAGTTATCCTCACACAATATATATTCTTTTGTAATATATATATGCAGATATGAGGTGCTGAAACTAAAGGAAAAAGGGATGACTGATGTTGGTTTCTTCGATCCGAATCGCACATTCAAGGACATGGTTACTCCATATGATAGATGGTGACCTCATGTGAAGAATAATCTGTTTACGTTCTTAGATAAGCAACATGACAAGACACTGATACTCTTCCCTTACAACTTCAAGTGAGTGTTAATGTCTTATGCATATTTTTTTTTGCTTACACCATGTTGACTTTAGTTAATGAGTTATGCCTACGTATAAACATGTAGCTTTCACTGGATACTGCTAGTCCTTGATATACCCAGGAGTCATGTAAAAATCTTTGAGTCAGCGACAAAACCCCAAAGAAGATTACCAAAAAATGATAGATATTCTCCGGTGGTAATTTCGGTCTCGTACACTATATACTCTCTTATGCATTTTTTTTATATAACCCCATTTATTTATTTTGTTGGGCAGTGCTTGGGCTATGTTCGCCCAGAAACACCATTACGGTAATTGGAAAGTGCCTCGGATATAGTCCAATACCCATTAAGTATTAGCTAGGTCATCGTATCTTTATTTAGTTCAATTCATTATTATCATGCTTCATTGGTTGATGATAAATTTTTTCTTGTAAAGATGTGTCTGCAGCAGGGATCGGGGAACAACTTACGTGGATACTACGTTTGCGAGTTCCTCATGCAGTACTCAATGAGAACAAGTGAAGAGATCCTCGAAGTACGTAAAAAATATACACAATTTATTTATTACCATTATGTTGATATATATAATCATATATATATTCATACTTTTCCTTTCATTCAAATTGAAGCTTAAATGGAGGAAGGAAATGGTCCACGAGCTGACCAGATCAAAACAATTCAACAGGCATTGTCCGGATTTCTTATGGATAAGGTCATAGATCCCAAAGACGCGTACTACTATGACAGAAAAAAATATTACCTAGTAGTCAGACGACTGAAGATTAGGGTTGAATCAAATCCCAAGGACATGGGTATAAGCTTTTTGTGACTTTATTATATACATATTCCATGCATGTACAATCTTTTAAAACATTTGTATATATATAGTTTCATACATATTAGTGTATTATTAGCAGCGTAGAATTTGTATACGAAAAGCTAATTGAAACAAAAAAAATTGAATTGAAAAAAACCATAAAATGAAAAGAAAAGAAAAAAAAAAATGAACTTTTAGTATCGGTTGGAAACACCAACCGTGACTAAACGTGCTAGCCCTCGAGACAAGGTCTGTGGAACCATTTAGTCCCGGACTAAATGGGAGTCTTTAGTTCCGGATTCATAATCCCGGTTAAAAAACTGGGACTAAAGGAGGTTTTCTAATCGGGACTGATGCTCAGTTCTGCACTAGTGACTATTGCCTATTGGACTGCAGCGGGTGACATGCATACCTTCAGCACTGGAGCAATTAGGAATAATAACTCTATAACAGTGGAGCAATAAGCCGAAGCAAGAAGGTCGACCAGGTCCATGTGTAGGACATCGGAGAAATAGATTGAACTGGAGTGTCTCCGGCGGTGAAGGCGTTAGCACTAAAATCATCAAAAGAGCCATATCGCGGCCACGATAGAACATTTTTTTTTGCGAATCAAGATAAAACATGTTCGTGCAGGCCAACAGATGAATTGTGCTATATTCCCATGGTTTGTGCCCAAATCCTAATAAAGTATTGATTAGCGCAGTCACGGCGGATTAAGCTGTTCCATTCGTTTTCTTTGATTTTTCTTGCTCGCTCAAGAATGCAAATTGCTAGCCTAGGCCTGGAATCAAAAAGGTGTTCGTACGGATGAGCTGTTATTAATGAATTTATTGGTAACACATGCCATGTCGAAAGAATCAATTAAAAAACTGTACCATGAAATAAGCTGGGTTGATAAATTCAAGCAAATAGGGCGTCAGTCTAGTTAGTCTGGTCATATCTATGTTTCATCTTTATTAATAGGTTACCACACAGATATTTTTGATGACGTGACAATATATTTAAGGAGAGAAAAGAATATGTGAGTTCCATGTGTAGATAAACTCTCTTGGCTTGGCCATCATAGAACAAATGTCTATAAAATAAAAAAAAGTTAAAATTATGCATTAAAAATGGTTGCTTTATCCATATCTCATTTTTATTGTATGTTTGTGAAAACAAAGTCTCCACCAAGGCTGGCTATATGTAAAGGGAGGGACAGTTTTCTTTATTGAGAAAAGCTAGTACATAGTACTATAATCTACAATGGTCAAGTCTTGGTAATAAATCGATCAGCTGCCTTGCACTTGCACTACTCCAGTTCTGATTTCTGAATGAGCTGCGGTAGAGCCTTCACGAGATGCGCGCCGCTCTGCAGTTGAGCACTTGATAGTGACTAGTGAACCGACACGGCCCCTATTTAACCACTTGCCAACCGCTCCAACCAACACAAAGCTTTCCGTTCCACACACTCCCGTCCATTTTCCTCCACAATTCCGCCCGCCACGCTTTCACCAAGCCTAGCAATGGGTGGCGTAGCTGGTGCAGAGACGACGAAGAAGGCTCTACGGGCCACCGCCAGCGACGGCGACAGCGCGTCGGTGCCTCCGGTGGAGCAGCAGCAGCAGCAGCCGGCGCCATTGCCCGCCGCCGGCGTCGCTGGCACCAACGCCGCCGACGGCTCTGCCTCTGCGGCGGTTCAGAGCTGCGGCGAGGAGGACGACCAAGACGACGAGCAGGTGGAGAGGTTCTACGCGCTCCTCGCCAACATCCGTGCCCTGAGGGGCTTGTACAGCGCCGGGACCGGACCAGCAGCTTCCGGCCGTGGCAGCAGGAAGCGGGCGCGGGAGGCGGAGGCGCCGTGGACGCCGGCGTTCCGGTTGGAGGACTTCGAGGAGGAGGTCAACCAGGGCGCGGCCGACGCGCGGTGCGCGGTGATGAACCAGGGCGACAGTGGCGGCGGCGTTGCGAGGCGGCCCATCGCGGCCAGGGCGAGACCCGCCGTGCCCGCAGCCGACGACGACCACGAGGAAGACCAAGTAGCGCGCGGTGGGAATAAGCTCGGTCACCGCGTCGCAGCGCGCGGATGACCGGTATTGACTGGCTACTACTTAGTCGAATTGAATTGAAGAACATGTGATGTGTATTATGCTTGGAGGATTGTCATGCTAAACTTCCCTTCAGTGATGTGTCTATTTACTTTTTAACTCTGATTTACTTACTGATGTAAATACGTATCATTCTAAGGCATCATTTGCCGTAGCTCTAGCTCGAAAACCTCCGTCTCATATGTGAATTTTACTCCCTCCGTTAAATTTCCTAGCGTTATAGTCAAGGTTTTTTTTTAAAAAAAATGACCATAAACTATATATTTGTATAATATATATTTATTTTGTGTGACAAATATTCATATTATTTCAATCAATTCTGATCAAACATAAAAAAAAACTAACTTAGACAATTATAACATTTGGCGATAACTTTTTTGTACTCTATTTGTTATCTACAGCTCCAAAGAAAATTACTAATGTAACTATAGTTGTGTATTTAAAAAAATACAGAGCTAGAAACACCTATAGTTCCATGTAACTATAATCCTGTGTTTTCGAGTGTTTCAAGGTGTTTTCAGTCATGTTTCAAGCCTATGTTTCAAATGTTTCAGTTGTTCCAGATGTATATTTTAAGTATTTCATACAAATGTTAAAAAAGTAGACCAGTGATGTTACATATGTTGCAGTGGTTGTACACGTATGTTACAAGCGTCTGTTCCCAGTGTTCATATGTTTTTCAAACGTTGTTGCGAGTATGTTTATTTGGATGTTGCATATGTTTTCACACATATGTTCCAAGTGTTTTATCTGGATGTTGTGTAATGTTTGCAATGGTTTTTAAATGTTTTTGCAAGTGTTTCAGAGGCATATTTCAAGTGTTTCATCTATCTTCTTTTGTATGTTGCAAGTGTTGTATCTGAATGTTTCAAAAGTAGATCGGGGTGTTGCACATGGGATGCACGTGGGAAGCGGAGGGGGCGCGAGCGGTCCCCTGTGCGGCGGTCTGGTGGCACGGCGACGTTCAGGGTGACACGAGCCCACTACTAGGGTGCTCGCTCGCAAGTCTGTCACTGCTAGAGGCGCTCGCTTGCGTGCTGCGCGGGCACCGTCCGACGCTAGCGCCCTGGATCGGATGTTCCCGGGCGCTAACAAGTCCGTTTTTTAACTCTGATTTACTTGCTAATTTAAGTACGCATCATTCTAATAAGGCATTAGATCATTTGCTGTAGCTCTTGCTCGAATACCTCGGTCTCATATAGTCATATCTGAAGTTTACTCCCTCCATTAAATTTCATAGAGTTATGTTAAGTCAAGTTTTTTAAAATTTATCTAAAATTTTCAAGATCTACGACACTAAATTAGTATCGTTAGATACACAATAAACTATATTTGTATAATTTATTTATTTATTTATTTCTATAATTTCTGATCAAACATAAAAATAAATAACTTAGACAATTATAACGTTTGGCGATAACTTTTTGGTACTCTATTTGTTAACTACAGCTCCAAAGAAAATTACTCAAATGTAACTATAGTTCTGTATTTAAAAAAAATTACAGAGCTAGAAACACCTACTTCCTACTCTTATTTTGTTCTTATTAAACTATAGAGCCATTGCCAAATAAAGTCTAATTAAGTTCTAGACCTCTCTGGTTTCCTGCCACTACTCAACGATGATGATGCTGAAATTTGGCTGCTGCTTGATGCTGATGTAGATTTGTTACGAGGAAAAACAACGTTTCTTCGCTGAAAAATACTATTAAAGTAGTTCTATTTACGAAAAAGTTATATTTCCTCCCTGAGCTATTGTTGAGTCTGGAAATTAAAGCTCAAAAAAAAATCGCCTCACCTCCCCTACCCACCCCCAAAAACTTCAACACTGAGGCTGAGTAAATTTCAAGATAGATGATTTTAGTTATGTGGTGCATATGTAGCAGCGTGGTTCGCTTGTAAGTCATACACCTCACCTCATCGTTTCCTTCTTCCCCTCTCCCGTCTGGTACACCTTTCACTTACCAGAGACCCAACGACATCAACAAAAGAAAAAGAATTGTAGCAATGTTAATGCCTTAACAACCACTCTGACTAGCAAACCGTTTTAGTGCTTCACACACAACAAGAGGACCGGCGGAGTTATATGTTATTATCAAGAGATTGGAAGGTACAATGATTTTTTGTATGCACTATAATAATAATAATAATAATAATAATAATAATAATAATAATAATATATAATATATATATATTTTGTGTGGAAATTAAATCCGTTCCTTGATGCTTAGGAGTATTTCTTTTGAATCACTGGCCGATGGAACACCACCCGTACCCAGATGCTTCGCTTTGGGCGCAAGCGCAAAGCAGCTGTCAGGTGGCACGCCGCGAACCGGGCCCTGCTGGCCGAGCGACGACGCCTGCAGCTTTACCGCTCTACGACAACACCACGCCGGCCGGACGGAGGAATCCCTGGTGGCGTAGTAGTACGTCATGTGGGGCCTCCCGCTGTGACGTCACCTTCGTGCCGTCAGCACGGCTGGAGAAGGGGTAATTCCACACACACGGCACATGTTGGAGTTCGCTTTTGTCGTTGGCGCTTGCGTCATCCGCCGGGCTGTCGCTGACGGAACCATCGACGGCGGCGCCCGTGGGCCGTGGCCGCGGATGGAGCTAGCCTAGCCGTGGTTTCGGCCGTCCACACGTTAGACCTGACGACACCGAGGGCGCCGGCGATCGCCATCGCTATCGCGGCATTGCTGGCGGTCGATTTCATTTCATTATTACTGGAGTAGTTTCTTCAGGACTGCTTAGCCGGCCCATTGATGCTGTCAGGGTCAAGGTTGAATTTTACTGTATTGTACTACTGCACTATATCTATTTGTATCAATTAATTAACGCGCACGATTGTTGAGACCAGTCCACGCCGCAGTGCTGAGTGATCGATCACCAAATACGATTTGGATTTGATACCGTCGCTGCCTGTGGGCGCTGCACTGCATATATACGTACTCATCATCACCGTAATGCTCTTCTTCATCCCTTGTCTGCTGACTGACTGGAATCACATCACGCTCCTTATAAATCATCGATCCTCTGCAGCTAGCTTGCAGGCAGCCAGGCACGCCCGGCTAGGTCTCCAACCTCCCTCTTCTCTGGCTGCTACACAACGCACGCGTACGGCATTGCTGCCTACGAGTAGACGAGTAGTGACCGTCCCCGTCCTCCTGAATCCTCATGGACGGCAACGGCAAGAAACCATGCGGCGGAAACAAGGCTGCAGTACCCGCGCCAGCCACCGATGCCACGCAGCAGCAACCGGCGAGGGCTGCCCTGGAGACGCCGGCCTTTTCCGACGACAACGACGCCGCGGCCCAGCAGGTCGATGATGTCCATCCCGTGGCGGCGTCAGTGGACGAGAGCCGCGGTGGGGCGGCGCGCCGAGGAGGAGGAGGACAATGGCGACGACGACGAGCAGTTGGAGAGGTTCTACACACTGCTGGCCAACATCCGGGCAATGAGGGGCCTGGCGCCGCACAACATGGCGTCCTCCTCCTCCTCCTGCGGCGGCCGCGGCGACACCGACACAGACACCGCCGGCGCCGGGGACTCTACGAGGAACAAGCGGCTGCGGCAGAGCACGGAGCCGCCGTGGAGGCCGGCGTTCAGGATGGAGGACTTCGAGGAGCCGCCTCCTCCAACGGTGTCGTCGTGCAAGATGAGCACGAAGTGGACGAGGGGCGCGGGCCACGATGACCACTGCGCACGCACGAGAGAGCAGCGGAGGATCAACGCTTTAAGGGACCGTGACGCCTACGAGGGGGTGAATTAGGCAACTTAAAACTCTAACTCTAAACTATTGTTTCTTTTTCTACCTAGTCAAAACCTATGCAAAAAAGTAATCTAAATGTGCAACTATGGTTTTGCTAGTGTGTTGCCATATCTACCGCAAAAAAAATTATGCAACCTATGTTCCAAACCTATCAACTAGCCTATCACTAAGCTAGAAAAGTAAAGCACAAAAGAAGATTGCACTATAAATGCGGAAGATAAATGGTAAGGTAGAGATATGCAAACTCTCATTGTCGACTCCGGTATTTTTACCGAGGTATCGAGAAGCGCGCAAGCTTTCCCTAGTCCTCGTTGGAGCCCCTCGCGAGGAATCCCTCGCAAGGGCCAAGCTCTCGGTCGGGTAACTCCGTGGATAGCCTCGGGCCTTCCACACGCGTAAGTGGGTCTCCGACGTGCCTTCCGGCAAGCCTCTCTCGGATGCTCCCCACCGTCTTCACTATCAAGCTTCCGGCCGAACCGCCGCGGGCCTTGTTCCCTTCGGTACACTAGAGTACCTTTTGGCTCTCCACCGAAAAAAGGTCAAGAACCTCTCACAATCACCATGATCGGAGCCGGAGACAATCACCAACCTCCACTCGACGATTCTCGCTGCTCCAACCCGTCTAGGTGGTGACAACCACCAAGAATAACAAGTGAATCCCGCAGCGAAACGCAAACACCAAGTGCTTTTAGATGCGATTACTTAAGCAATGCACTTGGATTCTCTCCCAATCTCACAAAGATGATGAATCAATGATGCAGATGAGTGGGAGGGCTTTGGCTAAGCTCACAAGGTTGCTATGTCAATGTAAATGGCCAAGAGAGTGAGCTAGAGCCAGCCACACGCCTTTAAATAGAGCGCCCAACAAAATAGAGTCGTTGTCTCCTCAGTCCTCTGACACACGGGCTGATCGAACACGCCGGTCAGGTTGACCGGACGCAGGACCCCAGCGTCCGGTCGCCCGATGCACGCCACATGTCATCAGCCTCAAATGCTGAGCTCCCGATCTCAACGGTCATTAGTGCACTTAAGTTGTGACTGGACGCACTGCTTAAAGTGACCGGATGCTCCATCACTGGAGTCCGGTCGTTTCCAGTAAGGTTCCAGAGACGGCTTTTCGCGACCGAACGCGTCCGGTGGCTCATGACCGGACCCAGGCCAGCATCCGATCAACTCAGCCTCTCTCTGTTGGTTGAGTCAGCATACGTCACTA